AAGCTTGGTCAACGAGGAAGGAAGTTGCCGCTGTTCGAAGTTGTCTCTAACCAGAAGGGTTTGGAGGTTGGTCAGGCGTCCAATGTCCTCTGGAAGCGTCACTACCCCGAGGCACAGGGTCCTGAGAGCTGTGAGGCAGCAGAAACCCGCTGGCAACTGGCTGATCGGTTCGCACCAAAGCAGGAACAGTGTCTCCAGGGAGCTGAGCTGGCAGATGGAGTCAGGGAGGGCCGAGAGAGGCAGTTGTTCCAGCACCAGTGATTTCAAGGCAGACAACCTCCCAAAGCTCTCAGGCAGGGACCGAAATTTGCCACATTTGAAGATCGCCAAGCTCTCCAAGTGGCTTAGGGAGCTGAAACCCTCGGCCAGCTGCTCAAAATTCTCGCACCCGCAGATGGTCAGCTCACGGAGGCATGGCAGCAGTTCAGCAATGTTGTCAGGAAGCCGCTCCAATTCTATGCAATGAGAGATCTGCAGCCGTTCAAGACTAGCGCATGGCCAATACGAGGGAACCACGTGGCTGGTCTCCAATGACCTTAGAAAAGGTAGCTGTGCGATGGTGAAGGCAGCAGAGCCCGGGTCACCAGGATAGAACCAGGTTCTGTTTGAGATTGAAAGGTTGGTAATGCGTGGGAGACGACGAACGTTTGAGAGTTGCTGATCGCTCAACTCCCTGGAGGCGATATGGAGAGTGGTGAGAGAGCCGAGGTTCTCCAGATCTGGAGCCTCTAAGGCCGAAGCGGCTGTAAGAGCAAGGGTGTGTAGACGCCTTAGCTGGAAGAAGGAAGGTGGAAGCTCAGTGTGTAGATGGAGGCAGAAGAGTGAAAGCTGCTCCAGCTGGGTGCACTGTTGGAAGAACCGATCCAGGCCAGCTTCGGTGATAGGATGCTCATGCTTCCATCCAAAATAGTCCGAATGCTGTGTAATGCCGCTTCCCACGTGGAGAATCGTCAGCTTAGGGCATGAAGACGCGAGGTGAGCGAGGAACGCGTCGTCTAGGGTTACCACGCTGCCGTCGCACAGATGAAGGTGGGTCAAGTTCGGGAAGCTTGCGACGGCGTTCGAGAGGTCTTGGAGGGAGATAACATGGTTCTTTTCGACGAGGAGAGTGGAGACATGACACTTCGCTAGATCGCGCCAACGACGGCATACGAACGAAGTGCGGAGAATCTGGACAGCACCTGGAACGGCGGAGGGAGAAGGAATCGGAGTCGCCGTGTTTTCTTCAGGACTAGAATCCTCGTCTATAAGGTTCGCGCGAATGTACTGTGGCCTCGGCCATAGTTCATGGCGATCCCAAAACGCGTCACTGTCGGAATTCCGAAACGTAGATGTGGGCTTCTTACCGTGCCATAGCATCCTAGCGAGGACGTCGTCGGGAAGGTCGTTAATATGTGCAGGCGACTGCATCTCCTAAGGCGAAGCAGCACGAACTGAAATGAGAACCTTGAAACGAGTGCGACGGGAAGAAACGAGGGCTATTGCGGGAAAGCTGATAGTAGCTTATGAACGATTAGCGTTGTCTCTAGAATACTTATGGGAAATCAAGCATGATTGGGAAAGTGGTGCTGGAAAAGATGGACGCGGAACACGGATCTATGGAGTGGCGTCGAAGGAGTAGGTACAGGCGCGACCAGTGGTGGTGGAAGCAGCCATGGACCTGCGTTCACGTGCCGTGGATCTGCGTTCAAGTGGTGGTGGAAGCAGCACGGCCTAATCACGTACACGGTACTGTGCAGAAAGGAGTGGGGTCTGGTGGTGGAAGCCTTTGGGGGGAGGGGTTTGGGTTGTGGGGGGGAAAGAATCCCGAAACGAAACTGGTAACAAGTGCTCCAGGTGACACCCTGGAGAACTGCATCGAAGTACAGAGGGTATGCTCTATGCTCCAAATCCGCGACTCGCAAATATGGACTACGACGAATAGAAGCGGTTCACTACGGGCAAAATGGATTATCGAGTAGCACGTACGGTTTTAGGTGGGGTGGCGTAGGCCGTTTTACTCTTTCTGTTCACGATGAGTGCCTTGGCTTATTGGCCCTTGGGCCAGGTTACCAGCGATTTCGCCGCGTGTCATGTGAGGGCTCATGTGGCAAACGTTCAGCGAATTTGTCGTCTGGTCAGAATTACCGTGGACAATAGAAGTAACACCTCGTTCTCGACCTTCCGCAAGCAGCGCAGGCTCAAAACGCGCAAATCATATAATTTGAAAAACCCTTTTCGTGGTCTCACGAAAGGGCTTAACGTAACGAAATTATGACGACTCGCCTGAGCGGTTTCGTTAACCAATCACACACTTTCACGAAGGTGAAAAAACTATTTAAGAAAAACAATTTCGAAATGTGCATTGGTTAATGGTGATTGAGGGACCGTGGGTCGTGTTTTCGTATTCGGGACGGACCTGTTTGTGTCACGTTGAAAGCCTGAATAGTTACGTTATTGGTTATAAAATATGGAAAACGCCTCGAATGTTCTTGACACGAGGATTAGAATAGGACCGAAATAATAATACAGAATGGATGGAAAAGGGGTACAGATTTATGCCCATGCCAGCTGGCTATCGCCCCCCGGTCCGTCGTGATTACGTCTGATCGCCCTGGCAAGCGCGTATTGGTCGGGCAATTCCAAGCACAATTCATGAGGAATTTCCGAGCTCGCACTCGCGGATTGGTTGGCGACACTCACATGCTGCGATTGCACCCAATTCGGGTGGCACGACTCGATGGTCGGTGGCATTATGCGACTGTCGTAATTGGTCACAATGTTTTATTGCGCTTTTTTAGCGAAGTCAACAGTAGATGTATACTGTACAGACGGAGTACATCGTGGTGGATCTTATCAAACTCCGGACCTTGGAGTATTACATGGAGTAAAATGTCGTGGACCTAATGGCATATCCGCTGTACCAAAATTTGCTTGTCGCGCAACGGTTCTAGAAGTACAATAGCTCCGGGCAGTGTCAGTCACGGAGCACAAACCTCACGTCACGGAGACGAGAAATGAGAAAAGGCCAAAGCGGCATTGGACCGAAATTTGACTACTCGCTGCGCGCCAAAGACATTTCCGAAACCAGAATTCCAGGTCTTTGGACCTGCAATCGGACAGGTGTCGTCTTGTAACTGCGCCGGAACCGTTGTGGGGAACATCGTTTCATGCATAGAACCGCGTAGAAAGTAGCAGAAGTGGAGAAGTGGACAACTGTTTACACACAGTGTTTTGTTTGATATCGTTATTATTCTCGTCTAAACGCGCTGTAACAACACCCAACCCCTGTTCTTAGCGAATCTCAATTCGACCAAAATGAAATTTGACATCCGAGTCTGCTGCTTCTTGTTCGAGTTCCTAATCATTCTGAGCTTTCATACGTCCTTACAGAAGTTGTCCTTCACATCGTGGGTCCCGAAGTGCGAATGCTGTTGCAAGTCCTCCCGTGAGCTCCCAGTAGAAGCCATGCCGCTGACGCCTACTATGAGACAAAACGGTCCTCTTCGAGGTTTGACCAACCTCAGAGGCTATGCTGGAACGACAGGTCCATTGAGCAACAACCTGGCCAACAACCTGGTGGAAATCGACAAGGTGAAAAAATGGAGTTACCAAGAATGATACGTTGTTTCGAAATGACGGCCTAACTCTACTCCCACCTTTCCAGGTTAACGACATGTGGAAAAAAGTAGTAGCTGAAAGAGAGTAAGTGATTCGGTCCACTAATTCCCTGTGACAGTTGCCTGAATGGAACGGAAGTTGCTGACCGAATGTTTCAGTAAGCAGATACGCACTTCGCAGGAGGCACTGAAGGCAATGTTGCAACGACATTCCCTGCTGAACAATGACATTATACAGAGAAATGCTTCTTTGCAGAAGGTACCAAATGCCCGTTGTTAATAACACGTTATAGTAATCCGAGCCAGTGATTTAACTCGTTTGATGTGTATATATGTCCTCAGGAGATGATGCACCAGCAAGCTCAGGTAAGAATGGTTGACTTCAAGGTTGAACCCAAGACGATTGGTTCCTGACCATGTTCGTTCTGTAGATTGAGTTGCTCCGCAGTGAAAGTATTCAGCAAAGGGTGCTGATTAAAGTCCTGAGAAGTGAAAAGGAGGTGAGTCTCTGATAAATTCGGAGATTGCATTATGTTTTGAATGGTTCCTGATCTTCGACCACAGGAGGCGGAGAGGCTCCTTGGCAAGGCAAAGGAAGAGAATGCAAGGCTGCAAAAAAAGCTGTGCAATCTTGAGGTACAATCAAGTTCCGCCATACTTGGAGCTACACCTTCTTGACCTTAACATTGTGGAAATGAACATGCAGGAGCTGAATCTTCTTGCAACCAAGAAGGCACCACATAAGGTGTGATGATGAGGATGGAAGTTGTTTGGCTGGTTGCTGCAGTCAAGAACAATTACTCACCTCGCCTGTTTACACTTTCAGAAGAGTGAGGACGAATGTCAGCAAGATCTTCCAATGACAGGATATGGAGAACCGACTAAAGCAAGAACACGAAAGAACCAACGACTTCCTTCCAGGTTGGTTGCTTGACGTTTCCATTTTCGGTATTCCCTGGTTACAATCTGCGTGACAGGTTGCCAGGGACCGGGAAGAAAAACGGCGAGCACCAGCCCACTGTACTCTGTGCACGGCCACGCACCTACAAACCCAAGCCAGCTAAGATGCAGCCTGTGGGTCAAGTGGAATTTGAAGACTCGGCATCTGATGCAGAGAGCTGCAACTCAAACAACTATTATATTCGGCCCACAAAGGTCCACACAGACAACCCTGCAAGGAGGCGTTTAGTAAGCCACGCAGGCAACCCCTTGGTGGGAGATACAAATGGCTCACCATTTTCTGCTCATGAAACAGTCAATGAGGTAAAGGAAGCTTCAGAGCTCCCAAAACGTGCACTCCGTGCTCGTACACTCTTGAATTACAAGGAGCCACCGTTGCATACCAAGCTTCGCAGACCAAGATGAGGCTGGATGAGAATATTTTGAACTTTAGCGTTCCTCCTTGTAAAGCAGCCCAGCATTATCTGGTTCAAATGGCCTTACAGATTTAGCGAATCTAACAGTGATACTTTCCAGTAGTGCTCTAGTACCGTATCCACTTGTAACAGCATTCACAAGCATGGATGCAGTTCAGACACATCCACATTATAGTACCATGATCATGCGATGACTCAATTATAAGCACGCCAGTCCCAACTCCAACATTGGTCCACTGTTCAACGGCTGAAGATCTCGCTCAGCGATGGCGTCTATTACTCATCCGCCCATCTCTTCGTGCCTTGTCATCATCCCACGCCTCGTCCCGCACCCCACCTCCTTGACCTGGACCACTACGATCGTAGCTCCCTCCGACTCCACCATCCTGTTCCCCTAGCCTGCCAGCAAGCCTGGAGCTCCTAGCAGGCCCTGCGCCACGTGAAGGCGGCAACTCAACCTCGGCAATTCTCCTGCTGCCACCACCACCGCCACTGCCACCAGCGTCAGCAAGCCACCGCCTGTCCCCACGGTCATCAAGCGTTGAAGTCACATGAAGCAAAGGTCCACCCCGGTGGCCACTCCCAGACGCCATAACCACAGGGGGCGCCCGAGAGGACGGATGAACGCCTCCAGAGTGGAAGGGAGGAGCAAGTGGCATTGGCATGGCTGAGGGCCCGCCTGCTGCAATGGCAGCCACAGGGGATCCAGCCCTGCCTGGTGCATGCATGGCATCGCCATGCGGCTGCATGAGGCTTTGATCCCGCTTGATCTTCCTGCGTTTTGCAGGGAGAGCAGCCGCGGAGCCAGGTGGAACAAGCTGCGAAGCAAGCGCAGGAGGCTGTGGTGGCATGGCAGACATGCCCTGGAGCTCCCTTGGAGGCGGCGCAGAGGAGAACTTGCTCTCCCTTGGCGAGCGATCCCGCTCGCGATAACTCTCCCGGTCATGCAGGTGGTCCCGCTCTCTCTCCCGGTCCCGATCCCTGTCCCTGTCCCGGTCACGCTCGTCCCGGTCCCAGTCGTGCTCTCTCTCCCAATCGCGGTCTCGATCACGTGGCTGGAGGAGATTGAGGTGGGACAGGACAGCATAAGAGCAAGGATATGAATCACGAAAGGGTTCGACAAGGAAAGAAGCTCGCAATGACAAACAGGGATGAATTGGTAAACTGTGAGACACAAATAGAATCGCCTTGATTTGACAAGCTTACCTCGTGAATAAGGCCTCCTGCAGGAGCAGGTACAGTCACACCAACAACAAGTGAGTGGCGAAGCCCCTGCCCCGCTCCTTGCCTCAGCGCATGCCCCTCCTCCCTCCCCTCCTCCCCCACATCCCGCACCACCACGCGGAACCCCCCTCCCCTCTCAATGCTTCGCTCCGGAAGAATACCACGTTCCTTCTCACTGCGCTCCCTCTCCCCACGCTCCTTCTCACCCCTGTCCTTCTCATATGCGCGGTCCTGCTCCGTTCCAAGCTCCTCTTTGCCGCCCACTCTCTCTCCTCTCTCCCCTCTCTCCCTCCCACCTCTGCCTCTCTCACCCAGCCTGTCTTTCACTGTCGAACGCTCATGCTCCCGCTCCCTCTCTCTCTCCCTCTCCTTCAGGTGCTCTGCCTCCCTCTCACGCCCTCCAACCCTCTCCTCCTTCACTTCTCTCTCCGGGGTGCTGTCAACCTGCCCTCGCTCCCTCTCCCTTCCCTTCTCCCTTTCTCTCTCCTTCTCCCTCTCCCTGTCCCCTTTGCGATCGGACCCTCCTTTCTCCCGCACACCAGTGCCACCACCCCTCTCCCCCCACTCGTGCACGTCCCCACGCCCCTCCACCCCAAACCCGGTATCCTCCATGTCTCTCCCCCTTCCCCTCTCCACACTCCCCCTCTCACTCCACTCCCCCTTGTCCCCTCCCCTACCTCCACTGCTACGCTCCCCTCCTCTCCCTTCCCCTCTGCCCTCCCGCTCATAAGACCTTGGCGTCTCCTCTCCCCTCTCCCTCTCCCTCTCCCGCTCCTTCTCCCTTCCCCTCTCCTCCCTGTCTCTCTCCCTCTCCCTCTCCTTCTCCCTCCCCCTCTCCTCCCTGCCTCTCTCCCTCTCTGCATCGCCATCACTCTTCCGTGCTCGCTTCACCCCCCGCTCCCCACCACCAACCACCGCCCCTCCTCCCCCATCTTCAGATGAGCTCACGCTTCTCTTCCCTCCTCTGCCCCTCCCTCCCTCCTCCACCGCCTCCACATCCTTGGGACTTTTCACACCTGATGCACCAACCCCTCCCCTCCCCCTCCTGCTCCTCCCGCTGCTCTTGCAGGACTTACACCGCTTGGCCCTCTCTCTCCACTCCCCTCTCCTCCGCCTACCCCACCACCAGCAATCCGACCAGCAGTGGCGGCAGCAGCCGCAGCAACAGCCGCCACTGCAGCCGCCTTGCTTCTCTCCCTCCCCTTCTCCTTCCCCATCTCCCTCTCCCTCTCCCTCTCCCTCTCCTTCTCCCTCTCCCTCTCTCTCTCCAGCTTGTCTTCCTCTAGTCGAGCCCTCAGCCTCTCTCTCTCTTCTCGCATCCTCTCCTCCTTCTCCTTCTCTTCCTTCTCCTCTACTGCCCGCTCCCTCAGCTTTACCTTCTCTCTTTCCCGCTCCTCCTCATGGTTCCTCTCGCGTCCCTTGTCCCTCTCCCGCCCCTCTTTCTCCTCCCTCTCCGCCTCACGATCCTTTTCCCTCTCCCCTCGTCCCCGGTCCCGTCCCTTATCATCCCTCTCCCTCTCCTTCACCCTGTCCCTCTCTCTCCCTTCTCTCTCTCTTCCCCTCCCTGCCTCCACATCCCTTTCTTTTTCAAAACCAGACCCTCTTAACTGATCATCATCCCTTTCCTCTCTCTCCCTCTCCCTCTCCCTCTCCCTACCCTTCACCTCCACCTTCTCTGTCTTCTCACTCCTCTCATCCCTCCCCCCGCTCACATACCTCTCCCCATCCTCCCGCTCCCCTCTCTTCCCCCTCTCAACCACATCTCTCCCCCCTCCTTTCTCCGCCCCATCACTCTCCCTCCCCTTATGCCCTCCCCTTCCCTCCCCCCTCACCTCCCCAGCCTCATGCTCCTCTCTCTCCTCAAAGCCCCACTTACCAGACCCACCAACACCCAAGCTCTCCCTGCCACCTGCCCCCTCACCCCCGAATCCCAATTTCCCACCCTTCCCTTTGCCTTCATCGGATCCTCTCTCCTCCTCCTCTCCTCTCCCCCTCCCTGCCCTTTCCTCGTGCCTACCACTCCCTCCAGACCCCCTCCTTTCCCTCTCCTTCTCCCTCCCCTCCCTCACTTCCTCATCCCTTCTTCCCCCCTTCATCTCTATCTCCCTTTCCCTCACCCTCTCTCCCTCTGCCCCTCCCATTCCCCCTCTATGTGCTGCGGGAACGAAGGGAGCAGCATCTGGGGAAAGCTTGCTCCCTGCCTTCCCCCCACCTCCTCCAACCCCCCCTCCTCTTTCGCTCACTCCTGCTCCTCCTCGCCCCCCTCTCTCTCCCTCTACTCCTCCATCCACCTTTCTATGCTTTGCGGGAGGTGGCTGCTCCCCCTCCTCCCACTGCTCCTCCCTCCTCTCGTGCGTCAGTCCCACTGTCCTCGTTAAAGGCTCCTCCTTTATAGCAACTTCAGCGACAGCAGCACGGGAAGCAGCACCGGCACCAGCAGCAGCAGCAGCAGGAGCAGATGCAACTGGCCCTCTAAACCCACCCTCCTCTCCTTTAACCTTCACATCCCTCTCCCGCTCCTTCTCCCCTTCCCTCTCCTCTCCTGCTTCGCGCTTACCTCCCCCTAAACCCTCCCGCCTCTCCCCACGCATTCCTTCCCCTCCCCCCATTCCCCCGTGGATGAGGGGGGACTTGGAGGCGAGGCGCTCGGGGGAAGGGGGGGCATGGAGGACCGGCGAGAGGGCGGAGGGGTGGGGTGGCGACTAGAAGGGGCAGAGGGAGCAGCAGCAGCAGGGACGCCAGCAGCACCGGCACTACCAGCAGCGGCAGAAACAGCAGCCTTTCCAATCCCACCAGCACCAACACCACCACCACCGGCAACAGCAGCAGGAGCAGCAGCAGCAGGAGCAGCGGAAGCAGCACCAACCTCAGCAGTGCGCCCAGCAGCAGCAGCTGAGGGTGTGACAGTAGCAGCCGGAGCGACAGCAGCGGTGGTAGTGGCGGTGGCGGCAGCAGGAGAGACAGCAAGAGGAGCAGGGGAGGCGGCGCGAGGAGTGGCAGAGGGAGCAGGCGCTCCTCCGAACTCCTCATCAGTCACCCACGATTGCTGCGAGATAGAGGGAGGGACGCCGGTGGAGGTTCGGAGGGGAGAAAGCAGGGGGGATAACAGAAGCTTTACCCATTTTCAGAAGCTTGATCCAGTCCCGCTCACATGAGCCCCCTGTGGAAAGGATTGGAGGCATGGTCGAGCAATAAAGCAGAGACACTCTACCTTCTAGGCATCAGGTGCAGCAGAGACACTCGAGGCCATAAGCTGGAGAGAGCTATGCCCAACTTTCCCTTGTTAAACGCCCTCCTTATCCATTCCCCATAAAGCCCAACCTCCCCATTTTAAAGCCCTACCTCCTTGGCATTGAGCGCAGCGCAGCAGGCACCTGGCCAGTGACCAGTGGGCACTGGTGGCCGTGCGCTTCAGCTCCTGATAGGAAATCCGTCGTCCCCCTCAATAAACCCCTAACCCCTCTCTAAATGTTCCAACCTTCTTCAGACTTAAAGCCCCACCTTCTTGGCATTGAGCGCAGCAGGCACACTGGTGGCCATGAGTTTCAGATCCTGACGGGACATCATCAGCGAATCCCCTCATTAAAGCCCTGATTTCCAATCCCTTACTGAAACCCTAACCCCCCTAGCAGGCCTACCTTCTTGGCATTGAGCGCAGCCGACACACTGGTGGCCATGAGCTTCAGATCCTGACGCTCCTCCGTCTTGAGGCGATTCACCTGATACGGGTGATGGTGGGATGGCACGCCAGTGTGATGTGATGTTGTGGGGTGTGATGGTGTGATGGTAGAAGAATACATTGGCATGATGGCATAATGGTATGAGGCAAGGGGGATGGAATGGTGGCACAATGGGATGAAGAAAGACAGATGGCATGAGAAAGACGGATGGCATGTGAAAGACGGATGGCATGTGAAAGACGGCTGGCATGTGAAAGACGGATGGCATGTGAAAGACGGATGGCATAAGAAGGACGGATGGCATGAGAAAAACGGATGGCATGGTGGCATAATTGACAGGATGGCATGGAGGCATGCTGAAACAACATCCCAGACTTATGCAGATGGCACTCCCACACCACACTTATGCACACTTATTCTCTCTCATCTCGCATTATCAACAGTATTGACAATCATAAAGGAGGCAGCGCCCATAAGGGACACAGCATTCGGTCACAGCAGCAACCACATCGATAAGAACACAGCAGCCATAGCCAGCAGCAGCAGCAGCAGCATAGAAAAGGGTGAGCGGCAGCAGCAGCACACCCACCTTGCGTTCGATGACGAGCCCCCCGCGCTTGGTGACGGGGAAAACCGCAGCGACGCGGGAGAGCAGAGTGAGGGCGTTGCGGATGTGCATGTACTCCGTGGACTCGAGCAGCGTGGAGAGGACTTTAATCAGCTTGGCGTTCCACTTCCAGTTGATCTGGCCGTGGTGGGGGCGGAAGGGAGGGGTAGTGGAAACGAGAGAGCAGCGTGAGGGCGTTGCGGATGTGCATGTACTCCGTGGACTCGAGCAGCGTGGAGAGGACTTTAATCAGCTTGGCGTTCCACTTCCAGTTGATCTGGCCGTGGTGGGGGCGGAAGGGAGGGGTAGTGGAAACGAGAGAGCAGCGTGAGGGCGTTGCGGATGTGCATGTACTCCGTGGCCTCGAGCAGCGTGGAGAGGACTTTAATCAGCTTGGCGTTCCACTTCCAGTTGATCTGGCCGTGGTGGGGGCGGAAGGGAGGGGTAGTGGAAACGAGAGAGCAGCGTGAGGGCGTTGCGGATGTGCATGTACTCCGTGGCCTCGAGCAGCGTGGAGAGGACTTTAATCAGCTTGGCGTTCCACTTCCAGTTGATCTGGCCGTGGTGGGGGCGGAAGGGAGGGGTAGTGGAAACGAGAGAGCAGCGTGAGGGCGTTGCGGATGTGCATGTACTCCGTGGCCTCGAGCAGCGTGGAGAGGACTTTAATCAGCTTGGCGTTCCACTTCCAGTTGATCTGGCCGTGGTGGGGGCGGAAGGGAGGGGTAGTGGAAACGAGAGAGCAGCGTGAGGGCGTTGCGGATGTGCATGTACTCCGTGGCCTCGAGCAGCGTGGAGAGGACTTTAATCAGCTTGGCGTTCCACTTCCAGTTGATCTGGCCGTGGTGGGGGCGGAAGGGAGGGGTAGTGGAAACGAGAGAGCAGCGTGAGGGCGTTGCGGATGTGCATGTACTCCGTGGACTCGAGCAGCGTGGAGAGGACTTTAATCAGCTTGGCGTTCCACTTCCAGTTGATCTGGCCGTGGTGGGGGCGGAAGGGAGGGGTAGTGGAAACGAGAGAGCAGCGTGAGGGCGTTGCGGATGTGCATGTACTCCGTGGCCTCGAGCAGCGTGGAGAGGACTTTAATCAGCTTGGCGTTCCACTTCCAGTTGATCTGGCCGTGGTGGGGGCGGAAGGGAGGGGTAGTGGAAACGAGAGAGCAGCGTGAGGGCGTTGCGGATGTGCATGTACTCCGTGGCCTCGAGCAGTGTTGTTGACAGCACCTTGATCAGCTTGGCGTTCCACTTCCAGTTGATCTGGCATTGAGTGGGACTGTGGGGAGATGGGAGGGAGGGGGGAAGGCAAGAGTGGAAGGGGCGTGAGGGTGTTGCGGATGTGCATGTGCACTCGAGGGACTCCAGCAATGTTGAGAGCACCTTGATCAGCTTTGCACTCCACTTGCAGTTGATCTGGCGGCAGAGGGGGGATCGGGTTTGAGCGTGCGTCGTGCACCTACTCGACGGACTCTAGGAGCGTTTGGCAATGTCGCTAAACCCCAAACCCTGAACCTTACCCCCCAAAAATGGAAGTCGAAACTCTAAAGCCTATTAAACTGTGGTCAACACGGCTTTTTTAGGCGCCTCAAAGATTCACCTCTTTTTAGGCGCCCCAACCCAAAATCCAAGGTCAACACGGTCAAGAGCAGGGTATGAGAGGACCCACCGTGCGTAACTGATCAAGGGTCATGTGTTGCTGTTGTGTTTCTTCTTCACACTCTTGTCGACACAGTCAACAAGGTCAACAAGGTCAACAAGACCAACAAGACTAGCAAGGCCAACCAGGTTATAAGTGATATGTACCGCGCGGAACTGGTCGAGAGTCGTGTTGTTGTTGGGCTTCTTCATCACACTCTTGTCGACACAGCAGCCAATGTGGTGAACACGTCTACGACGGCGAATTCGGGTACCATGAGCATGAGAGCACCCACCGTGCGGAACTGGTCGAGCGTCATGTTGTTGTTGGGCTTCTTCATCACGCTCTTGGACGAGCCCGGGTGGTTGAGGCACTCCGCACTGTACACTGCTGCGTCAGCCTGGGGAGGTGACACGGAAGGGAGGGAGGGAGGGAGTGAGGGAGGAGGGGAGTTGGAAGAGTGCGGGCAGGGAAGAGAGAAAGAGAGAGGAAAGGAGAGAAAGGGAGAGAAGGAGGGAAGGGTAAGGGACAAGGAGAGGTCGAAGAAACGAGGTTTCCATGCTTCCGTGCTGGAACGCTTGCAGGATTGCCAGCACAGAAGCATGGAACGAAACATGGAACAAACCATGAAACGAACCATGAAACGAACCATGGAAAGAAGAGTGATGGAGGAGAAAGCAAGGGAGCGAGGGGGAAATGGAGGGATGAGCAGGGCGCCTAAGAAACCCACAGCAGAGGGGAGGAAGACGAAGCCACTCTCCCTTCCACACGAACCGGCCCAGTCTCCAGCACGAACCGGCCCAGTCTCCCCACCTCAGCCTCAAAAGAGCTGGCGAGCAGCAGGTGGAAGGAAGCACCCCTTGCCACACCTTTCCCCGCCCGCACCTGCCATCTCTCGTCTCACCTTCCACCGGTAGATCGCCTGCAGAATCTCCAGCACAAATCGCCCCAGTCGTCCAGCCTCGGCCTCGGAGGAGCTGGCGAGCAGCGGGTGGAAGCTCTTGCACACAAAGGCGTCAATGATCTGAAACGTGCAGAACTGTGGGGTGGCCGCTGCGTGCAGTCGCAGGATGAACCTGGTGCGGTAGGCAGGCCGGGAAGAGGGCGACATACAAAATGGTCGCAGCAGCGTGAAGGCTCAGGACGAACCTAGTGACACAAAACCTCAGGGGGTAGAAGGAAGGGTTGAATCATGGCCGTCGTGCTGTTACCACACACTGCGTCATGCTCACTGGCATGTGCAGCATTGGCATGTGCAGCATTGGCATGCGCAGCATTGGCATGTGCAGCATTGGCATGCGCAGCATTGGCATGCGCAGCATTGGCATGTGCAGCATTGGCATGCGCAGCATTGGCATGGCATGTGCAGCATTGGCATGTGCAGCATTGGCATGTGCAGCATTGGCATGCGCAGCATTGGCATGTGCAGCATTGGCATGTGCAGCATTGGCATGTGCAGCATTGGCATGTGCAGCATTGGCATGCGCAGCATTGGCATGTGCATCATTGGCATGTGCAGCATTGGCATGTGCAGCATTGGCATGAGCAGCATTGGCATGTGCAGCATTGGCATGCGCAGCATGGCATGTGCAGCATTGGCATGTGCAGCATGGCATGTGCAGCATTGGCATGCGCAGTAGGCATGAGCAACCGAGTCGAGTCTCTGACTCGACTTGTCATTCGGCTTGCCTTTTGGCGAGTCGAGTTTTATTTCTGGCTCTTCCGACTCGACCCGAGTCGAGTCGAGTCGAGTCGGTCGAGTCACGAGTCAAAGCTCGACTCGACAACTTTTTCGGCCGAGTCGCGGTAGAGTCGAATCAAATTCCGACCGACTCGATCGAGTCGGAATCGACTCGCGCGGAAACTCGCCCGACATTCGTCGACAGGTTGGGGTTGGGGGGGCGGGGAGGGTGGGGGGGTTGTGTGGCGGAAAAGGGAGGGGGGGGGGGCGGGGGACATGGAAACAATTCGTCGACGAATTGTCCGCTGGTTTGGAGGGCTGGGGGAAAGGTGAGGGAGGGAATTGGGGACTTGGAAACAATTCGGCGGATTGTTTCCTGCAGATCAGCCAAGGTCAAGCCTGCACCTCCTCGTAATACAGCCATGCGCCGACAGCAGGAACTAAAACTAGGCACCACGGATCCACCCTTGCCACGGGTTAGGTTAGACCAGTTCCGCGTTTAGTGACGTCGCCGTGGCTGGGCAAGACAAGAATACTCTCGTTCCCTGAAGTTACCTTGGGATTTACCAGCAGCTTGCCTGGATTTCGACGGGGCGTAACATGTGTACCAGAAACGCATCTGGTTGCCGACTCCCCCCTCCAAAACGAGTCGAACTTTGACTGGACTCGACCGAGTCAGCCTCTGTCTCGGTCGAGTCAAGGGTGACTCGAGCACCAAAAACCGAGTCACGAGTCTCAACCCTCAGCCTCCGACTCGGGTATGACTCGGTTGTGACTCGACTCGGTTTTGGCTCGACTCGGTTTTGGCTCGACTCGGGTCTGACTCGGCTGTGACTCGGCTCGACTCGGTCCATGCCCATGCCTAATGCGCAGCATTGGTAGGTGCAGTCTTTTCCTCTTTGCAGTCAAGACTGAAGAACAACAACCAGATTGGCATATGCCACATCCTGCGCACTCATGAGCGCCCTTGATAAAACACAGTGGTGCAGGAGGCAGGGCAGGGCACGATGAGGCAGCCAGCTGCCAGGCCCCATCATCCATTGCCCCACTTCCCTCCTAATAGTCGCACGTCCACTCACATGGCACAATAGACCGCGCCTTAGCGCAATTATCAACCCCAACCCGGTTTTTTCCCCAGTGGTAGCACGTCCACTCACTTGGCGCAGTAGACCTCGTCTTCAGGGCTCATAAGAGCCCGTGGGATGACGCAGTGGTGCAGAAAACACGGCACAATGTGCCAGCTGTCTGGGACTGCCCCAGGTTACCCATTGCCCCTCTCCCCTCCTACAAAGATGTTCTCTCACGAATAGGTTGACTTACTTAGCGCAATAGACAGCGTCTTCAGGGCTCATAAGAGCCCTGGGGATGACGCAGTGGTGCAGGAAGCACGGCACGATGCGCCAGCTGTCAGGCACGGCTCCGGGGCTGAGCCAGCGCGTGCGGTCCCGAACCAGCCGCCGTTGCACAGCCTCGGCCCGAGCCTGCTGCCGAGCCAGCTCGGATGAGAGCTTGTCAAGCACCTCCTGCACCCGCTCCTTCTCCTTCTTGCGCTTCTGCGGGGCATGGGCGAGTGGATGGGCGAAGGGGAGGGGGGAAGGGGATGGGCGAAGGGGAGGGGGGAAGTCAAGAAGGGAAAGAAGGGGGAATGGGGCAATGAGGCAATCGAGCACCTCCTGCACTCTGCGGTGGGTGCGGCAAGGAGATGGGGCAGGAGCGTACGAGCGGGTTGGCCAAGTGGAGGGTGTTTCCGGGAAGGAGCAATAGCGTGAAGCAGAGGCAATCGCTAGAGTGAAGGCCCAAATGGGTCAGACGCAGTGTGCGTGTGGAGCACTGAGGGGAAAGC